ATGATACGGCCTGACCGGTCAGCCCAGCTACTCCAGAGGTGAGGTGAAGGCTTACCCGGAGGCTGCGTGAGGTGCTCCCCCATTCTCCCCCCAAAATAAAAAAAAAATAAAAAAATAAACGGCTGACAGTGTAGTTCAGTAATCCCTGGATCTGATCCCTAGCATCACAGAAAACAAAAACCAATGACCTGGTGTGACTTTTCTTGGAGAAAGAAATCCTTAGACAGCCCTAATAGTAGAACAGCAGGATTAGCTGCTGAAAGCAGAGCAGGAAACCAGACAGAGGTGGCTCCTGCTCTTCAGGTTCATGGTTTGCGTGGGGTGGGGAGACTGAGAGCAAGAGTCCAGTAACATGGTGCGGTCCAGCACCGAGAAGAGAAGCCCCAGAACGAAGGGCCAAGGGCCTGTAGAGGCCTCTCCTGGGTACAACACGCGGGCCACACCCAATACCAGCCAGGTGGAGCATGGCGCTTGCTGGCCGTGGGCTGGGAGGGACTCATTGAGCTCTGGGCCAACTGGCAGGAAAGAGTGGTCCCCACCATCCGAGGTCTCGAATCATGGACCAGATGTCACCGCACCTAAAGGGTCTGAGGGAAGTGCACTGAGGTGGCTGCCGCACAGTGGTCACCATGCAGAGCAGCCTGGCCTTGGGAACAGTTAGGAGTTGCGTGGCTGTGGGGCAGTGACCTGGCCTTGCGGGTAGTGGAGGGAGACGAAGTCACTGACTCCAGGCGGTTTTGGACTTGGCAGTCCCCGGCAGTGCACAAGGTATGAGTAAGACAGAAGCCCAAAGCGCTCCCAAGCGCTGGCCAGAAACTCAGGTGCATCGCAGTGTGCACGGGCCAGCTTTGGGGAGTGTTCTTACTCCCGAGGCAGCCTATCTCTGGGTTGGGACAGAGGGGAGGGCACAGTGGAGTTGGGGCCCGGCTGAGCCAGCCCTGGGCCGTGAGCCTAGCAGTGCCCCCCCCCACCGCTTACACGAAGTCACTACATATCCGACGTTCTCCTTGCCTGCTGAGAAGCCCAGTGGAACTCACCCAACATTTTGCTGACGTAAGGCTCGATGTCCACATCCTGCAGATGCTGGTGAGTGTGCGCATGGTAGAGACGGAGCGTGGAGTCCAGGCGGATGGAGACCCATACGCCATCGCCCACCCAGGCCAGCTGCCGCACCTGGCTCTCCTTCCGGGGGTGTGCATCGAAGGATTTCTAGGGGAGACAGTCCAGTGACAAAGGCACTTTTGTTACACTGGGAAGTACTTTAAAAACTGCTAATCCAGCTGAGTGTGGCGGCACACACATAGAGTCCCAGCACTTGGTGACTGAGGCAGGTGGGTTACTGTGAGTTCAAGGCCAGCCTGGACTACAAAGCAAGTTCATGACCCTCCTGAACTACAGCAAAGCAACAAGCCAAAAAACAATTACCAAAAGGAATCTAAATCTTGTTTACTTAATCCAATTTCTCTTTTAGATGCAATCTGCTGCGCCTGGGATGTAAAGTAAAGAAGAGCCAAGTGGTGCTGGCCTGGGCGGTGTGCAGAGCGCACTCTGGGCAGGCAGCGTCTGCACTGTGCACAGCGCTCGCCAGAAGCCTGTCTTGGACTCTGGGCCGGTGCAGAGCCGGAAGTGCAGGTTGAATAGGAAGGTGTCCTTGCTACTGTGCAAGGGACAGACATGAAAAACAGACAGCTGATGGCTAACTCTGGCACTTCTAAGGAGAGATGGGACTTGGAACTGGAGAAGAGAAATTGTACCTTAACATTTTCTGCTGTAAATTCTTCTTCTTCTTCTTTTTTTTTTTTTTCTGTGTTTTAGGGAAAGGTCTATAGGATGTTCAGGGTCTCACTACTAGATCGGATTCATAGTGATCCACCTGTTTACAGCCTCCCAAGAGCTGGGATCACAGGTGCGTGCCACCATGCTGCCATGCTGTCTCAACTGCTGACTCAGCGCATCCCGGGGGTGGGGCCAGCACAACAGGCCTGGGGTGAACCCTCTGGCCCCCGTGTCTGCTTGCAGGCACTTTAATCCGCTGAGCTACTTGGCTGGCCCTGTAAATCCCTCAAACAACTGCAATGAATTTATATACTGTGGCAAAAACTTTAGAAGAGTAATACTGAGGTTCTGTTTTTAAACAAATTCCCACTGCAATGCTACTTTTCAGTTGGTGACACACATGCAGGGTGCCAGTTGTGCATGAGGTAGTGTGGGACTCAGGAATGCTCCCCTCAAGCAGCCCTGACAAAATTACACATAGCCGAAGGACGGATTCACCAGGCATGGTGTGCACGCTTGCACTCTCAGCTACTGGGAGGTTGAGCTGGAGGACGTAAGGTTGAGGTTGGCTAGGCAACTCAAGGAGACCTTACTTCAAAATTCTATTCTATTTTTTGATCTTTCGTCTATGCAGCCCAGGCTAGCCTTGAACTTGCTGTGATCCTTGTGCCTCAGCCTCCCAAGTGCTAAGACTACAGGGGCAAGTCACCACACAGGGTCAAACTTTAATAAGCACTAGCTCAGTGGCTGGGTGTTTGCTTAGCATGCATAATCCTGGGTTCAATCCTCAGTACCTCAAAAAAATTTTTAGGGGCTGGGAAGACAACTCAGTAGAATAAGCGCTTGCCTGGCAAGTGCAAGGTCCTGAGTTCAATCCCCAGTTCCGCAAAAAAAGGAAATAATAATAATAATTAAAAAAGTATTCAAATAAAACATAATGCTTGACATAGTGGCACATGCCTACAACCCTAGTACTTAGGAAGCTGAGGCAAGAGGATCACCATTGGTTCGAGGCCAGCATAGGCTACACAGTGAGTCCGGGCCAGCCTGACCTGTATACTGGAACCCTGTCTCAAAAGACAAAACAAAACATAAAACCAAACAAAATAAAACATATATACATCTACAGTACAGATACATGTGAATATTCACATGTAAACTGTCCTTCCTCCAAAACAGGAAAAACTTTCCACCCTCACAGTAAAAGCAGCAGAAGAGCTGGGTAACACAAAAGAAAGCCACGGCTTCTAAAACCATCTCTCAAGTGTCCTAAAACAGATTCAGAGAACAGTCCCTAAGGAAGCAGGAAAAGTCTCGCGGTCTTCCCAACCTCTGCACGCACAGGCAAAGTGGCCACTTGCCTCGATCTTCATGGCTTTGGGCTGAACCACGTAGATCTTGTTCCTGTAGCCGCACCACACTTTGTCATGCACCACAGTCATGCAGCGGATGGAGTGGTGAGGCCGCCCCAGGTCTAGGAGGTGATAGTTGGACAGGTCCCACTGGCCATCTGTGCAAGAAAAAGGTCTCAGTTAACGCCTGCTGAGCCCCTCAGAGGACCAGGGATCTCTGCCTGCAGGTGGAAGAAATGCCACGTCAGCCGAAGATCACATGACTCAACCTGCGCGCAGGACTCAGGACTCCATAAAACATGCTCTCATAAGCAGAGATGTGACAAATTACGACAAGCTGCCTGTCCACAGCAGTTTTAGCGCTGGATAGGCTTACGGCCAGGCTGTAGCCCAGTGGCAGAACATGTGCCTAGCTGTGGGAGGCGCTGCACTGCATGCTCCCCACCCCAGGCTTAAAACTCCTCGGGCAGCAACAGGTCACGTTTTTTTGAGGAGACTCATTGCTTACCCTTTAGACATGGTGCATGCAGTTTGAGAATCCCTAATCTGAAATCCAAACTATTTGGAATGCTGCCATGAGGCCTGGATGGAACCACAGTGGTCTCGGTTCTGCCCAGTGCAAAGAAGAATAAGCAGCCGTAGCAGCAGCGCTTTCGTGTCAGCTCCACCTTCTCCCTGCAACGCCCAGCAGCCTTGGCTGAGCTCTAACGTGCATGGCCGGTAGGCGCTCGCCCCGACTCTGCCACGCCGTCGTGCACACTGCATGCAGGCAGCTGCGAGGTGTGGGGCACCAGTGCCCTGCTCTGCGCGGGCGTGATGTCCAGGAGGCTGAGGTCCCAGTGAACTCGTATTCGAGTTCCTGTCCACCCTAGGAATTCTCAGACTCGTCTCCCAGCTCGCTCTTCTGAACCCAAATGCAGGGCTTCACAGGGGTCCTTCCTTATTGAATGTATTTTTTTTTGTTAATAAAAATTTGGATTTAGTTTTCAAAATATTTTTATTCCATTTTTTTCTAGGCTCTTTAATCTAGTAGATGACGGGACTTTAATAGGTAACTAACATGTTCTGCACTTCAATTTCCCATCTAGAAAATGAGGAACATTCTTTGTAAATTACTGCGAAGATTAAATATAGTAAATTCTGTCAGGGCCCTGAACAAAATAAAACACAGCCCTTTTTCTCTTTGATGATATGGCATCATTAACTAGCAACCTCTAGTATCAGTCAGATACAAAGGCATCTCAGATGCATCTACATCTATCTGTAAGCCCCAAAGGATAAGATTTCTGAAAATACCCTGCAAAAATCCAAATTCTGTTGCTCTATGACTTCCTAATAGTTCCCTAATCTATCCACCTAGTGAGGAGGAAATGAACTATCACTTCTGGGTGACACATGTAGTAAGGAGTTAGGAAGTAATACATACCCAATTCCCTTAATTTCATACATTCAAGGTAGGTTTTTTGATACTACCACCCCTCCATCTTTGAGGGTAGTTTTTGAGATAGGATCTCTATATAGCTCAGGCTGGCCTTAAACTCTTCATGTAATCCAGGCTAGAGTGGAACTCATGATCATCCTGCCTCAGCTCCAAACAATGGTTTTAAAGAGGAACATAAGTAGCGGATATAGCGGTACACGACTGTAATCTCAGTACTTTGAAGGCTGAGGCTGGAGGATCATCATGAGCTCAACACTATTCTGCCTATACAGTGAGTTCAAGGCCAACCTGAATGAACCATATAGTGAGACCTGTCCCAAAAAACCCAACCCAACTAACCAAAACAAGAACAAAATGCACCATTATTTTTAAGACACAAGAAAACAGAAAAAATAACCTCATCAACTTTTACTAATTAAGTATATGAATGTAAAACAGATGCCTCTGTAAGACGTTGTTATATAGATTACCAGAAAATGCTGATGGCTTTCTCACTCTGGTAAACACACTTTCCACGGGCATACCGATTTCATATTTACTGACGAGAGACACTGCTAATATTCAGTTTACATCTTGACTTCTTTTGCCTACTAAGCATCACTTTTTAAAAACATCATCAGCCAGGCTGTTGAAAACACCTTGCCATGTGGCCAGTCGGTGCAGGTATCCTACGTTTATAACACTCACCAACTCCTCTGTGGAAGATCGCAAGGGTGCCATCAGCCAGAGCCACTAACACGATCCCTTTCACATGCCTGCAGACAGGAAAGGGAGTTCAGGACCTGCGTGTGGGAACAGAAGGGGCCACAGAGCCCCCGCAGGCGCCAGTGACGGGAGGAGGCGCTCGCGCTCAACGGCAGGAACGCACTGCCTACTGCCCTGGGCAGGGGGAGCACTATGGAAAATGTCAGGTGACCCAGTAGGCAGGGTCTCGGCTGTGCTCCGGCCAAGCTGTGCCCCTCCTCACCGGTGGCAGAGACATGCTGAGAGCAACCAGCAATCAGCTCTGGGGACTCTGCTTGTCAGTATATGGTGCAAAGCTACTACCTTCATCCCCAACAGACACTCTACAAACCCCCACAGGGAATATGCTGAAACAGATGTAAATAGGCATGGGCTCGCTTCCTGAAGTACGAAAGACCTCACAGTACGGCCAATTAAGCTGGCAAATTTTCCCTTACTATTCTAGTTTACTTTCTTATTCTAGTTTACTTTCTATTATAAAATTTCATTCTTATTCAACTTCTCCAAAGAAAGGACTAGAAAAAACTATACTGAACCTGGGTACTGTTTTGGTTAAGAGATTATCCTACGTACATCTCCAAATCCATAGTTTAGAAAAAGGGTGGAAGAAAGGGCACTTACACAATGCTGAGGATGGAGTCCTTGAGTTTGATGGAATGGAGACACTTCCTCCAATGGGCCACCGATGAGTGCACGTACAGGCTGCGGGACAAGCCAAGGCCCATAAGGGGGGCACCGAGGCTCACACGGCTCTCCACTCTGAGCCATGTGCCCCTCTTCCTGTCACTGCCCTGCCAAGCTTGTCCAGGACTGGGATGCAGTCACACGTGGGTCTAATCCTTGGTTCTTCCTACACACCCCAATCTACAGTGACCTTCTATATACCCACACACTGTCTCGGTGCTTGCTGGTTAGCATCTTCTGTCTCTAGATCTTCAGACTTGAAAATCTTTTTTTTTTTTTTTTAAGAAGTATTTATTTATTCATTCATTCATTCATTCATTTTGTATGTGTGGCCAGCTCAGCCCACCAGGGGGCAGGGCTGGCTGGCATGTGGTGCTGGGGATTGAACGGTGGTCCCTGTGCTTTGCTTAGCTTAGCTTGTTCTAAGTAGGTGCTTTAGACCACTGAGCCATCTCACCAGCCCCTAGACTTGAAAATCTTACTCATCCTTTCTAAGAATACTATAGAGAACTTTCCATGACCAAAAAGAAGTGCAGTTTACTGTTTAGAACATATACAAGTCCAGTTTATGAAGCGGCTGAGATTGGCTTCCAATTTTGTATCCATATATATTTCTGCATACTAACACACATCTCTGTGCTACCACATTTACTTGTTTATCCTGAGCGTTTTCTCTCTCTCCCTTGGGCACGCGCGCATGCAGGAGCTACAGTCACTGTCAAGGGAAGGGTGCAGCACCCACCAGCCGTTCTGGGCACCCAGCCACATGGTCGGCAGGAGACTGCTCATCTTCTGGGCTTCCTCTCTCGCCAGGTCCTGTTCACTCGGCAACACTGATGACATCGGATCTTGATACGTATCTGCATCATTACTGCAAAGGTGGGGCACAAGGAGAAACTTCAGTCTACTTAGCTGTGGCTTTCAGGATGGTTCCTGAACCATTTACATTTATAACTACCAAAAACCCCAAATAAGAAATCATAAGAAATCAAACACTAAGATTCCTAACAAGCCAAATGCTTATTTACACACACACACACACACACACACACACACACACACACACACACAGAAATTTAAAGAATTTTCCAAAATAGACCGAAATATGTTTAGACATTCTGTCAAAAAACTTTTAGGTTGTCAGGGCAAATTCAGTAAAAAATATATAACTAAGCTATCAGAATCAAAACATATTCCTAAATTAAGAATTAGGTGTTGGGTCTGGCAAGATAGCTCAGCAGACTAAAGCACCTGCTTAAGCAAGCTTAGGCAAGTGCAGGGACTGCGGTTTGATCCTCAGCACCACATGCCACACCAGCCCCACCCCCAGGGTGGGCTGAGCTGACCAGAGTCCAGGTGTGGTGGCACACACCTATAATCCCAGTGCTGGGGAGACTGAAAGCAGGGGGATCCCTATGAGACCAAGCTGTATAACGAGACCCTGTAACAACCAAATAAATTAAAAAA